GAGATAACGACCCAGGTCACAATGTTGTATACCGGTGTGTTGTTGTGAATGGAGGGATCTACAGTCGGCTGGCCCCGTGTTCATACCAGACGAGAGAGAGAGAGAGACAGACGGACCACCACCGATAACGGAAGACTCGCAACAAGCCCGAAATATCTCTTTTGTTTTAGTAAGGTTTTACGTCACTCGAAACTGCATAAATAAGGTCATATGAGCGCCAAGGGTGGATGTCAAAAGAGAAGTCCTTACAGGAAATCAGTCTTACTCTGCTCACCTCTCTAGCCTCAACAGCACAGAGTCTGCTTCGATTATCTAGGCACCCCGGAAGTAGCAGTTCACAAGAGTGTGACAAACATACACATGAAGTAGAGGATAGATGACGATAGTAAGGATGAGGAAAGAAAAAACAGCAGTTCCCTCTTTGTTGTTCCAGCACAGTACGAGCATGACATTGACAAATCAATCCATTTACAACTCTACTGTGCATAAGAATATGTTAACTTTGGAAATGGAAAATGTCTCTGCATGGTTCTGGGGCACAAGAAAAAACTTCACAGTTCAAAAAGTTCGAATGATCCTCGCCCAGCTTAATAGGCTCGATTCTTTCAAGCTCGATACTAATACATGTACTAATACTAATTATCTGTTGATAAATCACACTAAGACACATTTTAAAAAAATCAAATAACTGGTTTTACGCGAGTATACAAAGGTGCAGACTCAGAGCTTCACTGCATTTTGCCTTTCTACATTGGTCGACAACGGTCAATGGACCGTCCGACTCTTTTAAAGTATACACATTGAAACTCCGTGATATATCCGGGGAAAGACTGAGTTTCGAAAAAAGGGGTGCGCGCCCGCACGTGTGTGTGTGTTTATGTATGAGTGTGTGTGTGTGTACAAATGTATTTGTGTGTGTTTATGTGTGTGTGTATGTATATACACACGTATGTGTGTGTGTGTTTATGTGTGTGTGTGTGTGTGTGTGTATGTATGTACACCTGTATGTGTGTATGTTTAAGTGTGTATATGTGTGTGTAGGTGTGCACAAATGTATTTGTGTGTGTTTATGTGTGTGGGAGGATGGTTTGGGGGGGGGGGGGTGTACTCTTTCTCTTCCCGCCCTGGTCCGGTTCACCGTCAGCCCAGTTAGTATCATGCTAGACTTCGGTACTGAAGACTTGCGGTTCGATTTCAAAGCAGGAATTCTTCAGCATAGGTTATTTTGTGGAGTGTTCAATGTTCGTCACCCACTGGGCTTGGAACAGTAGGAGTTTGGCTTTGGACTCGGAAGTCCTTTAGAAATGAACGCTTCATGATGACAGTATATATATTATACTTCCTCCCTGAGCGATCCAGTCTTCTCCCCTCTCTCTTTCACACCATCTCACTCTTTCACTCCCTCTCTTTCCCTCCATCTCTCACTTTCTCTCCCTCTCTGTCTCTGTCAGTCTGTCTCTGTGTCTCTTTTTCTTTCTCTCCAAGTCTCTGGCTCTCTCTGTCTTTTTCTGACTTTTTCTCTCTCCCCTTCTCCTTCTCTTTCCTCTCTCGCTCCCCCTCTCTCTCTCTCTCTCTCTCTCTCTCTCTCTCTCTCTCTCTCCCTCTCTTTCTCCAAACTAAGACACTAATTCATTCACCCTTCCACTCTCTGCAAACCGGTGTCTGTGGTGTAACACACAATAAGGCGTTTCGCTGTCGCACGCAGGAGACCCAAGTTCGATTCCCGAGTGGGGAAATATTTTTATCAAGTATCTCTGTCTTTCTTTTGGGATGTTGTATCCCTCTCAGCCCAGGTTGACCCTGACAGGCAGCGACGGAGACCCGCCTCCTAAATGTGAGGCAGCGTGGTTGAATCAGGCTCTCGTCAAAATAATCAAAGTGAAGAAACTTGCTTTGTTCCGCAGGTTTGTGAATTTTTATCAAATTTTTGTTTTTTGGCTCAACACTTTTTATACCCATTAAAGAACTCATTTCTGTGTGGATTTTTCTGAAAAACGTTGATTAAAGGCACAACAAATGTAAATTTTCAGTTACCACGAACTTTAGTCTAAAGCTAAGGAAATAACTATTCTTTTGCGGCCATTTTCTCCCTAATTTTACATCTGAAAACAGGTGACCCCCTCCTCCTTTCGCAAACATCTCGACTTCAAGATAAATGGATATTTTTTCCATCCAACTAAAGACAAGTGAACAAGCTTTAAGATGATACCAATAACTCTACATGCCCAAAAATTGACGAGAGCCTGATTCCACCATGCAGCCTCACAAATGGTATAATAAATTGTGTTGACATGGTATGAAAAGCACCAACATCAGAAACACTCTCCGTGTATTTATGATCTCTCCTTCTTTCTTGTGTGGATTTTTCTCTACCGGCAGCACTTTAACACGGGCAACCCCCCAAAAAAGAGAAAAAGAACAAGAAGAGACGGAATACCATCATCTTGAGCTTGGAATTGGATGGGGCGCCTGCAGAAGTTCAAGACTGAGTGGGAGGAGCAGAAGGATATGGAATCAACCATTACTTGGAACCGTCAGCATCTGCACACTTCGAGATCGAGATGTGCTTCTTCAGGGGACGGAGCACTTATGGGAATGCCCCTTGTGCAGTGATGTCGGTCCTTCACACAAGTAAACAAGTAAACCCAAAAGGAAAAACACACACTTTGCTGACACGAGTTTACGAGTGTTTAGGAAGATAGTAAGACAATACAATGACCTGTGATATGGCACATTTTAAAAGGAAAACGAAACACGTTTTTCACTTCGCTGAAAACAGTTTATGAGCATGATTTGTGACATGGCACCTTTTCATAAGGAAACATTAACAACAACAACAACATAGTATGGCCCACATATTGCGTGAATGCCATGACCTGGCCAGCAACAAGAGAGTTATTGCCAATAAAGTACAAATGTCTTATAAATTCTGTTTACAAAAACTCAATTCTCTTCCTCTCCATTTATGCTTTTTTTCTGTTTTTTTTTTCTTAACACAAACATGCACGCATGCACACAAACACACACACACACACACACACACACACA